AGTAGAATGAATGAATAAATTGCTAGTCTTACAATGGAATATCATATAGCAATGAAAAGGAATGCATTAGTACCACATTAAATTATATGCAGTGATGATGAGTTAAAAAAAGCCAGATATAAAAGAATGTGCACTGGGACGCTGGGCTGGCTCAGGTGAAAGAATCCTTTTTTTTTAAGCTTTTATTTATTTTATTTATTTTCAGAGAGAGAGAGAGCGTACACAATATGGGGAACAGCAGAGGGAGAGGGAGAAACAGGCTCCCCGCTGAGTTTAGGAAGCCCGATGTGGGACTCGATCCCAGGACCCTGGGATCATGACCTGAGCTGAAGGCAGACGCTTAACCCTCTGAGCCACCCAGGTGCCCTCAGTCGAAAGAATCTTGAGGTTGTGAGTTCTAGCCCCATGTTGGGTGTAGAGCTTACTTAAATAAACTTAAAAAAAAAAAAAGGAATATATACTGTATGATTTCATTTCTATTAAGTTCAAAAAAGGGCAAAACTAATTTATGACGTTAAAAGTCAACTGAACACCTGGGTGGGTCTGTCAGTTAAAGCATCTGACTCTTGATTACCAGCTCAGGTCTTGATCTCAGGGTTGTGACCCAAGTGAAGATGGTTAGGGGGTAGAGGGTGAGGTAGCAGGGAAGGAGAAAAACAGTCAGTGCCTGGAGGGCCCCAAGGCCCCAAGAAGAGGGCGCCACAGAGGACCTGGCAAGGGCTTATTTCTTGGTCTGAGTAGTTAAAAGGAGGAATTTAATTCGTGACCCATCCATCAAGCTGTACACTTACAGTTTATGTAATTTTTAGGATATGTACTACCTTAAGTTATAAAGTATTAAAAATTTTAAAGAGAGAAAGACTTAAGAACCTTATCAATCAAATGCAATGTTTGGACCTTGTTTAGCTCCTGATTTGAACAAACGAACTTTGAAAGTGTATTTGAAACATTTAGGGAAATATTGGGTATTTCTGGCCTAGGTATTAAAACTGGACTCAAAAAATTCAACATACCTATCTGGGCAGCTCTTCTCCTTAAGGAGAAAAAGCACAGTAACACCACTATACATTTATTTTCAAAACACAATCAACTTATAGAACCAGAACCATTTCATAGATAAGAAAACTGAGGTATACAGATAACTATCAGTCAACACTTACTGAGAATCTAATACACGCCAGGTAGTGTACCGAGTACTTTAGTCCAAAGCCCATTCCGTCTTTGTCATGTTGCCCCTACCACCTCTCACCATGCCATGGTGTAGTTTCAAAACATAAAGACCAATACAAATGTGTTTATTTTTTTATTTTAAATTTTTTTGGGGGGGAAGGGCAGTGGGAGAGGAAGAATCTTAAGCAGGCTCCATGCCCAGTGCAGAGCCCGACGTGGGTTCGATCTCACAACCATGAGGTCATGACCCAAGTTGAAATCAAGAGTCAGATGCTCAACTGACTGAGCCACCCAGGTACCCCTCAAGTGTGTTTCTAAGGGAGAATGGCTCAATGTTAGACAGAAGGAAACTTGGTAACTTGAGGAAAATGTGTTGTCATCCCATCTTCCATCTCCAGCCAGTCAATCACAAAAGTGATACTGGGGGATGTAAACCAGGGGGAATTCTAGAACTGCAATATTAAACTAAACAGGATGATCTACTATTTGAAAATTCTGAATGGAGCCCTTTAACTGTGGGGTCAATGTTATAAACATCAGGTATGTGGTTTACACAGAAGTTCCTTAATGAAGCACTGAAAAACAAAGTTTGCTGCGTTTGGTAGGACTGGGGTGGAATGATGCCTTTTTCATCTTTCCCTGTCCTCACACACAGGAATGGCAAATAGCTCTCTCTCTGACAAGGACAGAGTTTCTGAGATGACCTTACAAGTGCAGGAGCAGCAGAAAACCAGCCCCTTTGATGCACCAGGAAATATGCTGGTGTGTTTAATACATATGACCTCATTCAATCCTCACAAAGCTTTATGAGGTAGGCAGTATTCTCCCCAGTTTCATATGGGAAATAAGGCTAAGCCCGGAATAACACCCACAAGGTCACCCAGCTAGGCATAGGTGTGTGGCCCAGGCCCGAGGCTCTAAACTAAAGCAAGAGTGCTGCCCAAGACCCTGGGTTGCCTCTAAGGCCACACAGCATGAGGACCTCAGCTGTGACAGCATTGCTACCTGGGTGTAGCATCTCTCTGGTAAAAGAAATAAGCTATGCCTGCCTATCCAAAAACCAGATTACTGTTTGTTTCTGAAATGAGAGGTCAACAGCATTTCTGGGGGGGAGGGGAGGTGATGTCACACAATGAAGCAGTGAGAGAGGAGGACAGAAATGGGGCCCAACGAGTACTAGAGGGCCACCACTGCCTGAGTGCTCAGTTTGTGCCGGTACGTCACACACGGTATGCAATCTAGTCCTCATGCCTGTCCTGTAGAGCAGGTGCCTTAATTATCCTCACTTTAGGAAAGATAGGACCAAGCACAGCAGGGTGAAACAGCTTCCCCAAGGTAATAAATGCCGTAAGTCAGAGAGCTCAGATGCGGTGCCAGGACTACCTGACCCTGGAACCAGGGCTCTTGACCAGTACTTGAAGCTGAACTGCCCAGATCACACAAATGGGTTCCGTGAAGGACTGGAATGGAAACATAAAAAGGAAAGGCAAGGGCAAAGAACAGTTATACATACTGCAGAAAATCTATGACGTAACAGGCACGTTAAAATACACATGCACCTGTTCTGCCCTTGTGCGAAGACTAGAAGTTGTGCAACAAGGCACTCTGACTCTGGAAGAAATTCATCATTGCTCCTGGTGAGCATGTTTCTTAACAAAAAGTAGGTAATCAGAAATGTGTAGGGCATGGATTCTGAGAAAAGAAGCCCAAACTCTGACCAGTGAGTGTATCAGGTGGCAAAACTGTATGAAGTATATATGCAATTAGCTACAAAGACTATGGTGATTACTTAGATTAAATCAGATCTCAAGAAGGTGATGCTAACTAGCTCAAGGCAAGCAGTATTGCCAAGGAAGAGAAAGTCCTAGAAGCATACCAGAATACAGTGTGTTAATTCACAATCTCATGTGGATTTAAAGTATTTAAAGAAGGTCAAAAAGAGTCACAAGATTTGACAGTTTGAAAATAAGACTTATGAGAAAATGCTGGGAGGGGGACATACGACATTTCTCCTAAGACATAAGCCCTCAGGCCAAACCCAGTGACAAAGTGTAGTGTGAGTAAACCTGGAAAGTAACACACGGAAGTCGCTCTGCTCTAAGAGGAAGAGGGTTCTCATTGTGCATTGCCCACTGGTAGGAAAACCCTAGGACAACCACAACCAATCCTAGAAATCTGTGAATATTTTAAGAACATAAGAAAACATAAACTCTAGGACACCAAAAACTATCAAAATTCATCTTTAAGCTATAAGACTAATCCACTCAGGTTAGATGTGAAACTCTCCTCCACAAACCCAGAATCTTTCATAAACTTATCATAATTGTATACTTGAGAGTTCACCTATTTATTGTTTATCTATAAACTTCATGAAAGAGGCATAATATCCTTTTTATCATGGTAAACTCTAAGAGCCTAACACAGCTCCTGGAACATAGTATTTGCTCAATAAATACTTCTCAATGAATCTGAATGAAGAGTCTAATTCTAGACCCCAAAAATGTTATTTTATTCTTGCCTGGATCACATGAATTTGGCCCGGTATGTCATTGCATTTAAAAATAAAGATACCCAAAATATAAAGGCAAAACTTTCTCCTCTTATCAGATGAACTAGTGTTCCCTGTTTCCATCATGTTCTTCTAAATACTTCCTAGTGTAAATCATAAATGATACATGCTAAGTACCACCTATCACTCCTCAGCTGTAATTTCTGGCATGGAGTTATTATTAATAATGGTTAATGGCCTTCACTGTATTCTGGGGAAAAAATCTTTCTTAGGGATCCTAGTTTTAAAAATGTCTGAAATAAAAACAAACACACCCAGGCAAGGCCAAACACCTTCCATAGAGCTATGAGACTTTGCAAATGAATATACTGCCTGAAGAGTGATTATAAATAAATAAGAGTGATTATAAATAAGTTTCCAAACTAAACAAACGTTATAAATTTAAAACCATACATATACAGACTACACTACAGCATCAAATAATAGCATTTTCAGGCATAGTCTGTCAGGTTTTCACTTAGCTACTAATACAAGGGAAAGTTTCCCACACTCACTCGTGTCATACCCATATAAAGACCGGGGAGATAAGTTAAAAAGCGAAACAGGTTTTGATAAGCCATTAAAAAAGTTCATGTCCATGGCCTAGTGCAATTAGTCATGGTGACGGGCTCAGCTTTGAGCCGGAACCTGATATTCCGTCACGGCTGCAAGTGGAACAGATTGCTCTGTGACAGCTGGACAAACTTCTGCAAAAATGTTTGTACTTTTACTACATGAACATGCAGCTTATTCTCAAGAGCTGAAGTGTACTAAGAAATAATGATTTCTATCTTGATCACCTGAGAACGTATTTCCTGAAAATAAGTATTAGACTTGGCTTCTGTGAAAAATCAAGTAACGAAATTAAATTAAATGATAGCTCAATTTTCAAAAGGAGAGTCTTTCATGGGGAATTTTATTGCTTTTAAGTTTTTAAGCATTTTTTGTTGGAATATGTAGTAGTTAAACCACCAAATTACTGAATGTACTCTAAGCGCTGAAGATTACTCTAATTTATACCCACATGAAACCGAGAACATCAAACTGACAGATGTAGATATCTTCCTATATTTCAACTAGATGAAATATAGTTGTCCTAAGACTCAAGCTTAAAGTTCGTATTCCTGAACAAACTAAACAACACTCATGAAACCTGTAGCGAGTTTCTTTGCACCTAACTTGTGTTTAAACAAGTGCTATGAATCTTTCATTATTTCTATTTTTTTCTTTACTGTAAAATATTCTAATACAAGCATTAAAACTCTAGGATCATCACACTTACCTGTATGGCTTGTCAGAGTTATGGATTCGTCTGTGGTTTCTGACACCAACATATGTTGTACTTGTATAATCGCACACATCACATCTATACTGTTTCTGGACTGAAGACTTAGTCCCTAGACAAGGGATTGGAGAGCTTTAGCGACATACACTGATTAGATACAAATGATATTAATTTCCACTGTAAATGAATATTTTTAACACATAGTATTAACATTTCAATCAAGGCTTTCACATTTAATGAAGTTAACAAGTTTGAACATGGCTTTCCGGGTTCTCCTGCAACTGGACTATCAGCAGCTATAAACTGAACATCATCTGACCCGTAAACATAGATACATTGGGTTAGTTTCTGCATAACCTTGTACAAAATGCTAAAATATAATAAACTTGAAGCCAGCTGCCCTGCTGACTGTGCAGCAGCTGAATTAACCAGAGATACACTGTTAATCTGAAAGGTGTTGATCTACAGACACTGGCTACACCGTCTTAAGGAAACACTGATTTGCCAACAAGCTGGGATTTAATACTCTAACACAATATCACACAGTATGGCCTACAAAGACTACATAACAAACTCCAGATGAAAAGACTAAAGCTTTTTTATCCTGTGGGTTTCCTTTGTTTATAACTGAAAGTCAGCTGTCGGTGCAACAATGGAAGGAAAAACCACTGCAAATTATTCAGTGCTAAATAAGGTTGTATAATCACAACTAGCAAACTGGCAGGTGACAAGGACAAGTATGAGCACGAATGTGAATACGCGACTCTCTGAAATCCAGAATACGTGGATCCACTGGAAAAGAGGCCATGTTACCACCCTCACTCTGCGGCAACAGGGCTGGGTAATTTTAATCAGGGTAAGCCTGATTAAATACAAGCTGGATGCCTTGATCATGTAAAACTGTTCCTGAACACTCTCTTTACTCTTCTGTAAGCACAAAGTCCGCAGGCCATTCACAGCCTGACGGCTTTATATTCAGAAACAAAGCAAGCATGGCAAGCTGGAGAGTAAGGCAGAGCAGGAAGGAAGCTTAGGTAGAACACTAGCACACAGTGCAGAATCGTAAAATTGGTGGCACAGAAGAAACCCAGGCTGAAATTTTAACAAAGAAAATCCTTAAGTTAAATTTAAGCTTTCTAAAATTGAAATTTTCTTTTGCCTGTAACTACTTTTGCCAGGCAGAAAAAAATGTCCTAATTTCCTGGGGGAAGTCTACAACATTAATATATACACTAATCACAATTATAATGTAAGTATTACTCTTAATTGGTAGGTTAAAAACTTGGACTTGATTATAAGGGCATTGTTCCAAATTCAGTTTTTTAAAAAACTCTGAAAGTGTGAAATACTGGATAATGGTTTTGTGTGAGAAATATTACAGATCAATGACAACTAATAAAAATGACAGATGGAAAAACTTAATATAGCACAGAATGAGAGCCCGTGCTACTTCAAGCAACCGTTTCCAACGGAAAGAATATTAGATTTAAAGTTCAAAACTCTGGGCTTTGTCCTTGCTCTTCCACCTAGTACCAGGGTGATCATGGGCAAAGCAATTTATCTTGTGAGGACTCAGTTTTCTGATCTACAAAGTGGAAATTCTAGAACCTTTCAGCATGGTTTACTTAGCGAGAACTCTCTATTCTTCCTTCACCGCAGTCTGCATGTTACCTGCATGTTTGTGTCAGATCTCTGACCTGTCCCTAGCTGTAGACTCCCCTGAGGGCAGAGATCTGTGTGTTTTGTTTATGCTGAATTTCCAGGGCTTCACGAATTGTATGTTTGCAATAAAGAACGATTTAATTAAATTTCATGAAGGAGCACCATATGAAAGTGCTTTGCCCATGGCTCTAAAAGAGCACCCGTGCCATCGCCTGACATCCCTGTCAGTACAATTCTGTCTTCCTCCCCAGCTGCGGTCCTTACAGGCACCGATGCCTTCACTGGACTCCTGGCAGCTAGCTCAGGATGGGCACTCCATGCCTTTTGGCAGAACGAATGTCTGAAACACCATTACACTGGGTCTCGGAGTCAAAAACAGGTCCCAAGTTATCTGTGCCATCAGAGGCTGGGGACCACTGAGGCACACATCCCCCAACTTGTTCATTAACTTTACTAAATGGCTAAAGAAGTTTTAGTAAAACATGAATTTCTTTGACCTTATTTGTGAACTAAACACTTGTTTCTTGGCCCGACGACCAGATTTCCAAAGATCTAATAGTGAATAAAGTATCAGCATAAGTATGCAGGAGGTTATCAGTCATCTGAAGTGTTACACTACTATGACAAAGAAAAGCAAAAGGAGCAAAGTGAGGGAAAAACATACATGGCAAAAGCAATTTAAAATCCATACATTTAACCCCAAGAAACAGAGCAGAATGTACAAAGAAAGGATGCTGTAAAATGGAACATGATGGACAGATGCTGTCGCCGTAAAGCTCAAACCGGTTACTTTAATTTTGAGCTGACATTTTAATCTTTTTTATTAAAATTGTGAGTTCTAATTTGTTAACCCATTTGGACAGTTTTATTAATTACTGCTTTTGAAGATGGTGCTAGAAAAGACATATTCCACCACTAGCATTAACCGCAGGTGGTGCCACTGAGTAGTATTTACTTTATTCCTTCATTAGGGATTTATGGCCCAATGACATCAAATGTTTTAATGTCTCCTTTAAAGGGGGATATGGAAACATAATGAATTAAAATAAAAGGAGGCATTTAGGGCTATTTTGTTAAAAGGAAACAAAACTGTTTTAGCTCAGCCATCTATTGCAGAAACAGATGCTATGTCATAAACTCCTTTTGTTTTGGATAGTTTTACAGGGATGACATCTGTTTGACAAGGGAATTTTGGTGCTACAGTGGTGTCAAAACCAGTTCTTTCAGAAACATTCTTGAATCAGTTATGCTTTCTGGGGTATAATTTAATGAAACATTATGGTAAAACATTTTACTCTGCAGTTGTTTCTAACTTTATTTCTTAGGAAATCTAAAAAGGAAAGTCACCCCAATATGTTTTATTTCCCACAAACACTATGTACCGCACTTGAGACACTTAAAGTATATCAATTTAAGAGAGCTGATGCAAGGAAGCACAGTTTATTACGCTTTATCCCTAATTCTCCGGATGTGGCATCCGCCTTTTCATGGAACTCTAATTAAATCTTTTGATTCTAATATTCCTATTAGCAGAAACTTGGGCGACTGGTACCTAACTAGTACATAAAAAGATCTTGTTTTTTTGTGTTTTTTTAAAATAATGCAGATGAAATCTGGTAGTCATACTTGGATAAGAGTAAGATCACAGCAGGAAGCCTCACTTGAAGTTTGAGGTGGGGGCCTGTCATCTGCAAAAGCTGCTCTGTTCTCAGTGGGTCAACTGGTACTGAGAGGGGAGGGCTTGCTTTCCATGCTGTGGCTTCCCCGGCTTGCTCGTATGTCACCCAAGGGTTTATGCTGGACTTGGCTCTTACAGGATAGCATAAAATTTCAACCTACAGTCTACCCACTGTTGAAGCTGAGTACTTACTAATACAGTATAGCATTCAGTACCTCAGGATATCCTCAGGAACAGAGGTAAGATTCACTCCACAGTGTGAAAAGAGAGAATATATGCAGCTTTAGTCCTGAAATTAACCCACATGACAACTAAGGGCTTTTTAAGAAAACTTCATATGCTGGTCATGCAGCCTGTACAAAACAAATGCACGATACCTTCTTGAACACATTTTCCATCAGCTGTATCACCGGCAATTCTCGATTCATTAGAAGTTGCTACTGACAAGGTATCTGGAAGACTATGTTGCTCTCTCTCATGGTTCCTCAGTTGACTCTAAAAAATTGAGAAATATTCACATGTAACCTTCAATAAATATACTTACACTGTTACTAAGAGACTGTAGAAGCAGTTAATTGCTTTCACGGCCTAGTACCTAGAACACATTACCAATATTTTAAAATCAATTGTGCTAAAAGATTACCTGACTTATTTGACAGTTTATGAGAAGAAATACACCAGGGAAATCACAATCTCATCAAAAAGGTAGTCCTTTTCGCATTCTCGGAGAGGAATCCCTTGCTATCCCCTGCTTAGGAATGGCATGTGCATACTTACTTACATACCGGCCTGCCAGCGGAGGGAAGAGCAGGAAACTCAGAATAACCCAATACTTTCAAAAAATAAATCCAAACAGTAACTGCTGGACTCCTGCTAATTTTTGCCTTTCAGTATCAACTAAATGTGTAAGAGAGACCTAATTGGAACCGTTCCTCCACGGTATCTTCTTCCTCCACCCCCACCAATCAAGAATGCAGGAGCCAAAGAAACTTCTGGAACTTGCTTTTGCTGCCCGTTTGGATGCACTGCTCGTCTAGTAGCCTGAGGCCACTTTAGAATTTCATGAGGGCAATCCAGGTAGGCAGTGAATCTCAGACTCCAAGGCTTTTTTATTCTTGATTACCTTTTTACTACCAGCTAGCCCCCAACTCTGGGAAATCTGAGAGAAAAAGTCTACATCCTAGTTACCCTCTTAGGACACTCCTCCCCCGCTCCCCCAAACAGTCAACTGGCACACTGGAGGAGAAAAGTTCAAAACTAATGATTCAACGAATCCAGTTTCCTTTACCAAAACAGTATCTCATGCTGGTTCTTGGTTTTAAGGTAGCACGTAAGATGAAAATCAGTCAAAATAATCCTTGAAAGTCCCTTAAACTGCCCATGAAACAACACGTGGCTCTATTTTCACTTTGCTGTCTTTCATTAAGTCCAACACAGGTTATTTTTCCTCCTGCAATGACACAGATTGCTATTGGCTGGTTGTGTCGCTGAAGTGAATGACCTATATTTTGGGGCTGTGGAAGATGAAAAAAAGCTATTTTTTTGCACTGATGATGTAGGATTACATTTGTGTAAATCAAATGTGTGTACGTCCCTCCACTGTACACTCCCTTGTAATTACCTTGCAATTTAAAATCAACACATTTTTTTAAAAAAGATATCCATGCTAAAACTAAAGCAGTAAACACAAAACTGTTGAGGAGGCGGTAGGCAGGGAAAACAATCCTACACCAGAAATTCTGATGACTTAGATTTCAGTCCCAATTTTAATACTGATTCAGTTGGGATCCCCTGGGCAAATTATCCAACTTTTCTGGGTCTCAGTTTCCTCATCTATAAAATGAGGTGGTTGGGCTCGCTCTACCGGGTTCCCTCCTGGCTCTAAAGATTCTCAGGTCCTCTGAGTGAGTTCATGAGCCGATGTTTACCTTATAATGAAAAGACTCTTCACACCGCTTGCACTGGTATATTCTTGTTTTACAGTGGTTGATCATGTGGTTCTCCAAATCTTTGCTGTTGTCAGCTATGTGCTCACAGATGGGACACTGATATGGCTGCCTCTGCCGATGGACTCTCAAGTGCTGCTTGATGTAGCCCTTGTTTCCACTGGCATAATGACAAAGGCGGCAACGGTAGGGCCGATCGGCATTGGGGATGTATTCCACCACACTGCTTCCTGACAAGCTCGTGTCACTGTTGGGTTGGCACTGGGCATTGTCCTGCAACTCTTTCAAAATGTCATCATCCGAAGCATTTTGGTCTGTCCTTTCCCTCAGCTTTTCAATGACAGTCAGTAAGGACATGCTGATGCCTGTCTTAACTTGCCCCTCTGACAAGTCCTGCCTACCCTCTGGGAGTGCTACCAACGTAGAGTTGCTTTGGTTAAAAGTAGTTAATCCATCTGCAGAGTTTTTAAGTGGTGACATCATTTTAGAATATGCTGCCAATGTACTATCTACTTGCCTTTGTCCGGTGTCTGGACCTAAAAGGTTTATGTTCCCGTAGTGCCCGAGGTTGGCCCTTGTCAGTTCTGCAGCTCTTATGGGCATCGTCACGAGGGCCTCTGCGGCTAATGAGTGTAGTCTGAGAGACTCAGAATTTGTTCTTCTTCGGCCTGGTGGGGCATTCTCATCAGTGGCCAGTCCTTTGTTCATTAACTCACTGTCTTTCTTCTCCGGGCTGCTCCAGCCTATGATCAGCCCCCCAATATCCACAGTACATTTATCAGCATGATAAACTTCATCTCTTCCCTCACACCCCATCTGGGATTCTGCTGGGCTCAGGTTTTTTCCCTCTTCGATTTCAGCATTCATGAGGAAATGTTTCTGTGAGAGAGTTTCTTCAGCACTTGGCAGACGCTCCACGATCACATTAACGTGACCTTTTTTATTTGGGCTGCTACTAATGATCTTCTGTGCAGATGAAAGCAGACTATCAGCAATCAGATTCTCCTCCACATCAGAAATCACCTCTAGCATTTCTTCCTCGTTAGGGTCAAGAGTAACTGACGGACCTAGATGAACTCCGCCTTCTGCACTCTGTTCTAAAGGAGATGAAGAGGATAATGTTTCTGAGCTGCAAATCTGCACTTGTACCGAAGGCCCATTGTGGATACTCAGTTCATTGTCTCCAATAGCAATGACTACTGCATCTAGCCCACCAGGTTCAGCAGCCACTGAGGAGTCCAGCAAGCCTAGGGGCTCGTTTTCGTTTTCAAAGATTGGGTAGGAGCAGTCAACCTCCCCGGCATGCTTCCAAGCGTGTGTTTTCAACATTCTCTGCTGGCCACAGGTGTAACTGCAGAACAAGCACCGGTACATGCCGTACTGCTCATACGCGTACCATTTCCGCCTACCCATCTCCGTCACGGGTGCATTCTGGGCAGCAGGAGTTTGCGGGTGGTCAGCACTCACGGCTGTATCAGAAGTGGTTTCATTCTTTCTTTCTGTGGGTCTCTGAGACAAAGAGTTGGAGGGGCTTACACAATGTTGGGCTTTGGATTGAGTGCGACTGTTGGCATCGCTTTCGTGGTCATTTACCACATGAGCTTCAAGTTCCTCTTGGCTTTTAGATGTAATATGGCACTCTGAGCACATTAATATCACTTCATTCTGCTGACCATGCTGCTTGATATGATCTTTCAACACAGAGAACGATGATGACAGAAACTTGCAGAGGCTACACTGGTAAGACATAGCCTTCCCATCATTCTGGGCAAGAGAGCCAGGGGTAAAATGTATCTGTGACATCTCTGACCTTCTAATCTCGGCAGCAGGTGACTGGGTTACTTTAGCTGGAATCTCACAAAGTTCCTGGGCTTCAAAAGAGTGCGCTGCAGCACTTGAACGTGAGCGTTTTTTCCCAATTAAAAGACATTTTTGGGACTTTTCATGTTCTACTATCTTGCTTAACTTCTGAATTACATGGATCAATGGATCTGTTTTAACTTTTCTTTGTTCATCAATTTCCAATGATGAACTGATGACCGTTTCAGCAGTCAATATAGCTTCCTGTTCTCCGATGTCTGGCACCAACATGGCAACACTGCTGCTTTCTTCCATATCTAGAAAGGATAATACACAACAGAAAGAAATAACCAGGTTATAGGTATCCCAGGTATGTAATTACAGGAAATTGAAGCTAATCTTAAGAGTTTAAGCCAATCTCTGTATTCTCTAACCTGGGAGCTCCATTATCCGTACACCTGGCTATCCCCAACAGAGACTTAAATTGTTCACAACTTCTCTTTGGAGTGCCATCCCCTATATCAAGACTGATGATGATCTTTCCATCCACTTCTTTCTTTGGAAATGACTTTAACAATTTGCATCTCCTTTTTCTTCACTTTCTTTCCCCTAGACAGCTAACTGGGCCCAATCAATACGCCCTCTCTTTTGCCCAATGCCAAAAAACAGGACTCCTATTCTTTGACTGAAGGAACACAGGCATTCCCAGGGGCATGTGGAACCACCTCAAGTTACTACAAAATACCACACTGTAAAGCCAATACATGGTTGACACAACTCTTGGGAGACGACTTCTTATACCAAATATAATTGTAGTTTTATTATTAAAATAATAAATGTTTTCTCCCCAAATCTTTGGAATTATGAAAACATAGTCGTGAACCTCTTGTAAAGGGCAGAGTGAATTTTGAGAAGTACTATGCAAACGAAACTACATAAAAGCAATGATCTAGTTCCTTCTTTTACTTCCTTCGATATTTCTTCCTGAAGATAAACCACAAACTATGCTGTGGTTTTTTCCTAGAGGCCATATTAGTGGTCAACTACTACTCATACACATGTATTTTTTTTCCCCCCCTGAAAGGGAAAGGGGCATCAGAGAAGGAAAACAACTGATATCCTAGTTGTGTTTCAGGTCTAAATATTCAAAGTCCTTAAAAGGGGTTCTCTGTAAGTTCTAGCAATGCATTACAGCCAAGGAAGTTACAAAACAAAAAATACTCACAATATCTTTCCGCCTAAATCTTGAATCCTCTATTTCCTGGCAGTACTTTCATTTCAAACATTTCCTTTGGCTCAAAATGAGATTAATTTGTTGACTTGGATCACATTTTTCAGTTTAGGCTTTTTTCCAGCAACAAGTTTTGTTTTTCCACATTTTAGGTGCATTCTGGAGTCTTACTCACAACATTCAATAAATGCCAGCAAAATTTTTAGTGGCACCAGCTATAGACCAAAGACCATACTATTCTTAAACTTCAGTTGCAGGCTCTGAATTCTTATTTTAGGAGGTGAATAATGGCTTCTCTCCTCCCAGGTGGCTGAATCAACATGGAAGGGCCCTTCAGCCCCTGCCAAGATCAAACCTAACTCCTGCTAGACCCTACCAGCACTCTGACCAGCTGCAGTGCCAGTCCTCCCATATCTACTCTTGGCAACAGTGATGGCTTTTCCTCTCTGATTTTCTGCTCTTTCTGGCACACAAACTTTCTATATCTAGGTCCACATCAGGCAAAAATGCAAACATTTTATTCTCGGTTTCTTTAGTACTACTTCTTCCCTCCTTCCCCCATATTCTGTCCAGTGTGATCAGCTTTCTTTTCTTTTCCATGTCCAACTGCACTCATGGCAAGGAATGCATTCTATAGCCATTACAACAGTGACTGTTACCCCAGCGCCCACAGACCACTGGCCCTTTAGCCACTCTCTCCCTTAAACAACCTGAGGGCATTACCTCTCAAAAGACTATGGAGTTCCTTTCCATCTTTGTCAAGTAAGAAGAGCAGTATTTTTAAACCTCTACACTCAATTTTAAGTCACTAAAGAAGGGACCAGTACGGGAACAATTTGTTTCCTTAGGAAAATCCTTTGTGACTTCCTAAGTCACTTTACTGCCTGAGAGTTTCACATTTTTAGGCCAAAGGACGCTGTGGCTCTTTCTGTGACTACTGATTTCCCTTTAAGGTCACTCACTTAAGGCTTTATTTCTTTCAGAACAATTGTCAAATGCAAATTGGTTAAGTAATTGTTAATAACAGGAATCCTTGGACATTTAATTTCTTGCACAAGATCTGGTGGTCTCAGATCTAAGGTCTCCTTCTCCATGAAATGTGACATCCATGTAGGCTGATTGATAGTCTGCAGGTTAACAAGTGAATATTTGCTCAACAGACTGCATACCCACAGGGTTACGAAGTTGATTCATGTTATCCCTCTTCTACTTAGTGACAGAATAGGAAAGAGAGCCGTGCAAATTGCTCCCTGTGGATATTTCAGTGTGTAACCTTAAAAAGAAAGTGAAATGAAGAGGAGGAGTTCATCTTATTTGAAGAAAAAGACTAATACAAAAGAAACTGACAAAACATTCAGATTTTAAAAAGCTGTGTTTGCTCAGGCATTAAGAGCTAATGGAAATTTGCAGCAGATGCTCTAATTTTCCCTGAACATTTATGTAAGTACCTCATTTTAGAGGCTGTATACATTTGGGGATAAGTACAGAAATGGCAGCTATAAAACAGATATGACAACATAAAATACATTAAGAAACACCTGAAAAACCAGTGAGTCCACATGGTAGAATCAATATACAAGTTAAGTCTCATTAAAAGTCTCTGTTAGAAAGGTTAGATAAACAGCTCATAATAGAGTATACACAGGGAGGGAGTTTAGCTGACCTTAAGGCCAACCTTTTAAATTTTCACAAAAATTTCACTTAGGCCACCCATGTGTACATATATATGGGTTTCCATGTCAACTGAAGTAAAATTTGGGGAAAAAAAAAGAGAGATGAAAATAAGGAGTACAAATACAATCCCAGTGGCTCAATAATGATGACAACATGGATTATGAACATCTGCATACTATCCATGGCCTTCAAGAGAGCAATGTAAATGCAACTTTAAAAACTGACTATGGTCAAGGAGGTGGGGGAGGGAAGGGGGGATAGAGCAGGAATGGCAAATTTTGTAATTCAAGTTGAGTGACGAGTACCTAGGAATTCCTTATACTATTCCTTCTACTGTGTACATGTTTAAAACTTTTCATAATAACAAGTTATACTAAAAATTGCCACGCACAAGGCTTTAAGCAAAATACAGTATGGAAAAAAAATCACAGTACTCATGGTTTAAAACTGAGTTGACTGGATAGGACAAACATACTTAGAAGTTAAAAAGAATTAACAGCTTTTAAATAATGAAACAGTACACAAGGTAAAATAGTCAGAAGGCAACAGTCAACGACCAAATCCTAATAAGAACTGAAGAGCTAATTTTGGTCTAGGAAGGTAAGAAAAGACTTTTTGAAGAGGTAAGAGGTACACTGTATTCCAAAAGATGACTATGCCAGATGTCAACCGTTTGCCCCTCTGAGATCACCGTCTCCTTTTCTCCACTCTGCTCTCTGCCCCAGGAGGTATTACATCATTAGACTCCCGTGCCCTCTTCTGGTTGCCAATGGGGAGCCATGACAGGTGATCAGAGGGAGGTAGCGGAGTGAGATCAGGATATTCATGTCCTTGATTCCCTCCCTCTAGGTCACCCGGGATTGGCCACGTTCCTCAATGGAAGGCCATTCTCTCTAGGCAGGGGGCTCTACAAGACTCTCCTCGTTGTGGTACCTCTTCTTTCTCCTGATGTTGCTAGCTTCAAGTAACTGCATTGTCCCTGTGGTTTGCCGATACAGGTCCTACATCTTTATTAAGAGTAACTTTGTAAATACATCCTCCTTGAATTATCCTAATTAGAGTGCTTCAGTTGCTCTTTTGGAATTCTGTTAACACAAGGGTAAGACCGACAAGGAAAACAGCCATAACATTATTGTATTTTCATAAATGAGAATAAACCTGCTATCTAGTGGTTAGAGAAAAGATCAATATGGCTGAACGGGAAAGGTTTACAGAAAGAGGAAAGACTAGAGGCCTCACCAAAGTAGGGAGCTTCTTGTTTGGAATCTTTAGACATAACAACATTGGACAAAATATATCAAATTGTTACAAATAAATAAATGTTTAAGTTGCATCCCCAACCAGAAAAGTTCAACAATCCTTCCCACCCAGGCTCAAATCTAGACAACAGCAGAGGTTTCCCTGGCTATCTGAAAGTAGAACCTTCCTATGAAATCTTTTAGAAGCTGAAATGATGTAAAGTGAAGACGGAATTACCATTAATTTATATGGAAGACGTTTTGCGTGTTCCCCAAACCAAAAAATAACCCCTCTTAGGCTTTTCTGATACCTCAGGACACATCTTGCTAATGAATGCACAAAATAAATCAAGATAAAGCACAGATGCTCACAGACACAGTTCGAAGCTGTGGCGCTTTGATGCTGAGTGCAGTTCCTGGGCAGGGAAGGAGCGTGGCGGGGCCACTCTTGCCGCTTGGGGTATGTGCTGCCTCTATTAATGGCTCACTGCAAAACAAAGATTGAAAACTACTTTCGCTTTTTGTCTTTTTTTGTATAAGCGAAATCTTCTGGTTTCTTTCAGTACTTTCTTTCAATTAGAGAAAGTAGGTACTATTGTAGGTTTTTCATAAAAGCAAAGTGGCAGAAAGCAAACTGAAAAGTGGGGGAGACCTGTATTCCACAGGCAAAAGCTTATAATGAATGTCCTTCCCAAGAAAAGCACCAAATTATTTCAGTTGTCTTTCTTTTCTTATAATTTACTACTGGGTTTCTTTGTACACCGAATTAGTTCCTTTCAGTTCTAGAGTAGGGTTAGCATAAGTAAAATCGAGCTGAACAATTCCTGTGGGCCTGAGGGGGACTGGAGAAAGGCTGTCATTTTCTGTGTGTGCAAAGGCAGTTTGCTATTTATAAAGAAACTTTTCTTTCAAATGAAGAGCTTGTTCTTTTCCAACTAGACGAAGATGCTGTGAAGAATGGCCAATTTCCCATTCTTCTAGATTATCCCAATTCTAAAATACAAAACATTTTGCTCCAGCCAAATGGCAGAAGTTTCTCATTTAGTTGTGTGACCTTAGGCAAGTCACTGTTTCTGGGGGTTTTATTCAGGTTCCTCAGATGTAAAACAAGAGACTGGTACCGGATGAGCTTTCATGTCCCTGAATTGTAAACTGTCTATAAAAAATTACCTTGAGATTGCTTACACATTATTTAGAGATTTATATTACTGTCAGCTATAATTTATTTGAATCAAAATCTCCTTAGCTTAATTTGATTAATTGCCACTAAGAAAAAACAGTATAAATATCACAAGTACATGAATTTCATAATCTAAAATTTCTTAGCTGGCATCTAGCCTGAGAGAATATTCTAATTTGGCAGCCATGGTGAAGACATAAGGTCTAACTAACATTAACCAATATTAAGATTTAACATTTACTGGGCACCTATAATGTGCCAAGCACAGTGCTGGAGACTACAAAAATAAGTAAGAAGAAATCCTTGCCCTTGAAGTGCTCACCATCCAGGGGGGCAGTGCCTATATAGACTCTGTGTATTATTCATGTTATTTCTGGTAATAGTAGCCTCTTTTTTGCAGGTAAGGAATCTGAGGCTCACAGATGTAAAGCAATAACTGGCTTAAGAACTGGAATCCAGGCCTATCTGATTCTTAATACACCAATTTCCCTCTTACATCTCAGCGAGAACAACTATGTATAAAGAAATCAATACTGAAAAGAATAGCCCCTTACAGCTAGGTTGTATCAAACATGTTAGCGTGTTTGATCTCCATAACGCTTTGGAACAGGCCAGGTGGGCGTTACACAATTTTACAAATAAGGAAACACTCAGTGTGGTTTAAGCGACTTACCCAAGGTTACATGGCTGTTAAGTGGCAGAGCCAATGTCTTTCAAATCAATTCCTGAAATTAACACAGTCCCTTGGATCAATCTTCAGAATTCAGCTGTGGCCAAGAATGAAAGTATATAGTATCAAACATTTCTCTTTTTTGGTGAAACAAAGTAATGATTTCTTTTGGCAGTAAAAAATTTCCCAATATTCTATGTCAAAAAGAAATTCAGAGGAATGTTCATGCAACCCAATCATGTGATGCAAATTTACATAATTTCTCTAACAAGTAGACTATGATTTTGCACAAGTTAGAAAAAAAATGCTCTGGAAACTTCTCCCAATAATTGTGTATTTTGTTTTAGCTCAGAATTTAACTAATTGACTCAAAATACTATTGGTTTTACTGATACCACTTTCTAATGAATAAGGAACAATAAATTGTATATTACTATTTTAATCTTAACCAAAAATACAATCTAAAGGATGATTCTGCAAACTTCAAACAGTTCTGCAAGCACAGTGGGCATGAAAAGAGAAGACACAAATTGACCTATCTATCTTCTAATGTAGTTTCTTCCTGTCCTGGTCTTACATTTCTTTGCTACGGTTTCTTATACTAGCTAGGCTGAATCTCAAAAATCAAATAATGCCTATTCGTTTCTCCTAGAACGCAGCTACCTTATCGATTATGTTTAAGTAAATAGTTCGTTGCCAGGGCAGAAAGCACGTCTTTGGTCCTCCCCTGAAGTTAATTTTAAACGAGTTAGTGAAGTAAAGAAATGAAAGGCCAGGCTTTCTCTTTTAATCAATAACGCAACCCATACGCTCAGTCAAAGCAGAGTACTGAAGAAAGTACAAGCTCAAGGAGGTGATAAATCCAGTAACTGCCTGATAAAAGAGATGCAGACTGATAGTAAATTACAACCCACCGCAGTAACTAAAAAGATCGCCTACGGGTTGGGATGATGGCCTCCGCCTAATTAATCATCCAGGCCTTCCACCCAAACCATTCACTCCGGATGCCCGCAGGTCTTAAAAGGTGGGAGCTTTTCCCACTGATCTCAGTGATCTCTGGGGACACCACTTCACCGAAAAGGTACGCAATAGGGGCAGAAGGCTAGGCTTTCCCGTACTGGCTTTTTCTACACCAAGAATTGGCTAAAGGGCTGGGGAGATGGGGCGTGAAAAAAGTAATCTGGAGATGCGGTGAGGACACCGTCGTGAGCTTTATCCCGACTGGCCTAAGCAGTTTCACGTCCGCAGAGGGGAAGGAAGCAACCAACGCCTCGCAGGCCCACCTGCAGACCAGGCCGGTGACAGTATGCGGAGAGCGGCAGGTTCCCCCCCACCCCCCGCGGCAGGGCAAGCCCGGGGTCTCCGCAGGCTTTGCTGTGGGCGGCGCAGAGCGCTGGAAGAGGACGCGGAACTTGGGGCATGTGGCGAGCACCGGGAGGTGTCGGCCCGCTGAAGAGGAAGCGGGCGCCGGTAGAGGCCTGAGGGGAGGACGCACATGGCCGGCGGCGGCGCTGCCTGCGGGCGGAGGGGCGGCCCCGGGGCGCGGTACCTGCGGTCGGGCGGCGGCTGCTGCTTCCGCGAGCCTCCTTTGGCCGGCCAGGAGCCCGGCCGTGCCCTCGCCCTCGTCCTCGCCCACCTCTCTCCCGGCTCTTTCCCCTCTTTTCCCCCGCTTTTCCCCTCCTCATCCGGAGCTCCAAAATGGCGGCGCTGGGGACGGATCACGTGAGCCGCGGGCAGGTCAGGTGACCCGAGTGGCGGGCGGCGGGGCGGGGCGATGCTCAGGCCCCGCCCACGGGCGTCCCGGGGCGTTCAGGCTGGGCGGGCGCGAGGAAGGTACCCTGGCGGGTCGGGGTAGCCCCGGTCCTGGGTGGGTTCGGGTCTGGGTCGTCGGCCTCCCAAGGCGTGTACGTTGTCCTCTCAGTGGTCGCGTAGGCCTAGAAGTCGGTGTGTCTCCCCACGTCGCCCCTGTCTGCTGTGGGCTAGCTTCACTCCATCTCCTCCCTCATTGGCTTTTCACCATGAGCACTGGCACTCTTTTCAGCCCTATGCTTATGAATTTGTACCTGCGCTTATTGGACTATGTTTGTGGTATTCTTGGCTAAAACGGAGAGGTCCCAGCTAGGTTTGTGGCTGGACTTGAGGTGTGACTGGTGAGGGGCCGGGCTAGCCCTGGATCATCTATTTGCTTGAAAGACAGATTTTCAGGGAAAGAACTCATCGTAGGGGTTATGGCCTGACTTGGGAGCTCCACACAGTAACTCAACCTCAGTCCTTCTGAGGGCACCATGGTGTTTGTCATTTGGCTCTGTTTTTATTCATGACGTATACACCAGGGTTATAAGCAGCCTTGTTTTGTTCCCCTGCGAACAGAGTAAAATACAAAGGGAGTGAAGCATTTCATCCAACTTCACAGAGAATGCTGGACGGTTTTGGTACATTAGGAACTACACAGCAGGGTGTTTGGGTCTGGACTCAGTAAGTGGGCCAGGAGAAGTAGGAAGGGAGCAAGCCTAAGATTCCCTGCACAGTAATGGATTGGACTTGTTCATTGAGATAGCCCTTGGGGACTTCCAGATATATTTAGGAGTCTTTGCCGCAGGCTGGGCTCTCAATTATCTCAAGTGGGAGAAATATCTAGCAAAACTTAGGAACCTTTCAGACAGGTCAGTAATTCTCCGGACTGTATCTCAGGATACAAATTCACCTGAATTGGGGGTTTGGGAAACCAGGAAAGTTAGAGTTCTGCTAATCTACAGACTCCTTTGCCAGTTGGACCAAATAGCTAAGAAGAAGGAAAAATAAAGTGTTGAACAGTTTTTTTCAAGAAAAGAGATTGAGCAGGAGATGACCCTGGAAGAGGGGAAGGAAAAAAAAAATAAGGAAAACCAGAAATACATGAAAAGGAGAAAGCGAGAACAAACAATGTGCGAATTTCTTTCCTTTTTTTTTGTGCTATACAAATAATCCTAGTTTATAGCTATCTCAAGAGAAGATTTAGTAATAACTGTAATGTACGTGAGTACATTACATGTATCTGAAAGTGGATAGAAGTCAGAGAATTATTTGATCAGGAAAGAGGGCAAAAACAAAGTGGAGAAATTGTGATCTAGGGAAAATAAGGGACTTCTCAACAAGAGAAAGAAGATAAGTTTATCTGTCTGAAGATTCTGTGGAATTCTGAAGAATTCTGTGGAATGCACCATTATTTTCCAATGTCCCTCTTGCAGGACAACATTAGATAAAACTTCCTGGCCCTCCTCCTGGCTCAGAGGTGTGGCCTGTGACTGGTCCTGGCTCATGAATTGTGTGTGGTGGAGGTGTCATCTCCATCCTGGAGCTCTTGATCGCCAGTGATGTTGCTTCCAGAGTACTGTTTTCCTGCTGACTTGATGACTGACAATGTTCAAAATGGTGGCCATCCTGTCAGCCTCCATCTTAGAGTAGCAACGATGAGCCGAGCCCCCCGCTGTCCCACCATGGATACGAAGGGTGAGGAAGTCACTGACCCTTGGAGCTGTTTGTTACTGCAGCATGGCATGGCCCCTGCTGACTGACATTCCTCCTCCCTACACTGATGTAACAGGAAGAGGCAGAATCAATAGAAAGAAACCAGTCAGATAGTGATGTTAATGAATTAGAACCTTCATTCCTGAAGACAGAGAAGGTAGAAGACCCAGAACCAATAGGAAGACGTTAGCAAGTTCAAAAAGCTGGTGGAGCAAAACCTCAGTATTTTTCTTTCCTGTATGAGAGTTCTCCAGAGAATTACAGTAAATATTTTTAAGTCAGAGGAATGCAGAGACACTCAGATGTGGTGAATGTCTTTGAACCACTGAACTTGTGGTCATCCCACCGAACTCTTCTGAGCACCTTCCACTTGCCACAGAATGTTATTTATCATGATTTAATTAACTGATCATAGTAAGATTTAGTGTTACAGATAGGAAATTTGCTTACTCAGTTCTCTTGCACCTACTCACTGGAATCTGTTTCTGTCTCCAGATGAGAGATGGCTGGATCCCTATCTCCACGTATCTCATTATTCCACTTTGTGATCATTAATTACTGGATGAGGTTAAAAGTTTTGCTTCTACAAGTATCATGGGTCTGTATCTTCTAAAATGACCAGGGAGTCTGATAATACGTGGTGTGTGCTTGACGACTTCAACAAGAACACTGTTTAAATTTTGGGAACGCTAAGGGCAGTGCAGTGAGTAAGTCGCCAAGGTGATGACTGGTTGTAAACTGAAGGAGACACTGAACCAGTTGAAACTTGAGAAGACCAACTTGTTCCCAGCCACGATACTTATAAAGGACACCTTGTCTTTGGTGTAATAAGATTAGATTAGATTTCTTTTGACAGGATTAATCGTGTAAGTCTTTGGCACAGCACGGAAAATTGGAGGAGACATGTTAGCCTGCATTTCTTTTAGTTGTAATTTTTATCTTGACCTTTAAAAAAATATCCTTTGAATATACTGCCTCAAAAAGGGAAAGATGGTGGAGGGGTGGCAGGAGGTGTTGGGGGGGGGACTAAAAGGAGAGAAAAAAAGAAGAGTAGTGGTGTGAACTGAGAAGATAAACACAAACGTTTCCCCTGACTTTCTATTTAGCTCCAGTGGGACTGTGAGCAGGTGGGCTCCATCTTTCTGATGTTTTTTCATCCTGCCTGTAAAACAAGAAGTTCAATTTATCTTTTTTTTTTTTTTTGAGCTTCAGATGTCTGGTATATGGAAGTACAGAGTTTAATTATAGGAGTCCTCCAGATTCAAAATGGGACTTTATCATTAAGAATAACGGCAAGGCTTGATTTTATTAATGAATGAAAGGATTGCTTGATGTAAGTCAGAAGGAATGTAAGATTAAAAGACATGATATATTATTATACATACAGCTGTCAGTAATAAATTAACATTAGCTCTAGGTTCCTTACACTTTGCATCCTGAATATACACCTAGAAATACTTCATAATTACAGTCCAGATCTCGGGAATCATCATAAATTATCTATCTGTCATTCATTCTCTGCTAAAAGCCACAGACCTACATTATTTCTGCAGCACATTGACATCTAAAATCTCTGGTGCTACGAGGCACACATATTAATATATTTCTTACCGAGGACCTGAATAAAGCCAGAAGGATACCCAATGGCCAGTGATGGCTAGGACAGATTGGAGGGGGCACCTGTTGTGAGAGTTAGGGGCTACTCCAGCTAACATTGCTCATACTTACTTTCAGCTCAGCTGTTTGGGGTCTGAGCCACCGACTGGTTTAGAAGAGGCCCGTGAGGAGCTCAGACCGTCCTAGCAACTAAGGCAGCCCCGCGGTCCAGGTGATGATGGAATTCTGTGTAGACTTCCCTCAGCCCCTGGGACTGGCTTATATGCAGGACCTGGGAATAAGGACAGGAATCCATGGTGGGGACATCTAGTGGCTTACCTGGAAGGTGCAGTCAAGCCACAGAGCACTCCCGTGGGAAGTGGGACATCAGCCTTGTCCAGCTCACCCAGGTCTGACCTCTGGGCCCCGAATCAGCCTACGAATTTGGTTTCTGGCAGAGATTCCCTGAATTCATGTTGATTTATGGTTGGGATCCAGGAAAGGCAACAGCAGGCTGGGAGTGGAGGTGAAGAGGGGCTGCTTTTGAGGACGTCGGGAGGCTCCTTCCAGTCTGGTCTGCATATGCACAGGCTGGTGCGGCGGCACAGCGTGGCTCAGTGGAGCTGCCGCGGAGCAGGGAGCTCGCCTCCGCCAGACTGTCTCTCTGCTTCAACGCAGACTGGTTATTGGAACGCTCAAGCAATTTTCAGTCGTCTTTGTCAATAAAGTCAGTCTCTTTTCCACAAGGGGAATGAAAATGAGATTCTGAGGCCTCCGGAGGGCTGTCTCCTTTGGTCACTTTATCTGCCCGGGAGCCTCAGCTGAGGTGGGTGGCAGCTATTTGCAATGTCCAAGACCCCGATGACAGGTAATACCACCTGCTTCTGAGCAGGACAACGTGATTATAATAGGATACTGTTAAATTCTTCTCAGAGAAGCGGTTTCCTTAACGCAGTGACCTTTATTGATGAGCGGGGCAGAGGAAGAAAATGAAAAGAAGGAGAAGAAGATGAAGAAGGACACTAAGAGGAAAAGTAACTGCTAATCAAACCAAGAGGGCCGGGCTGAGGGGTAATCCTGTGACCGGAAAGTGTGTCCTTTGTTATTTTGACAGATCCTTTTGAGGTGATAGACTAGGAGAGGCCACTGGCATGATCATTAGCTGGCTGAGAGCTCCTCTTCTTGCTTCCTGAAGACGTCAGTAAATGGACACCCACAGGTAGCAAGTCGTCCCCCTTTGAGGGTCTTCCAGCTTCAAGCTCCTCACATACCATGGAAAACCAAGCATAAAAAACATTGCTTAGTTTTTGACCTTCCGGGAGGCTTCTTTCATTGACAAAGAAACAGGAGCGAGAAAGGAAAGGGAAAATGTGTGTGGCTCCCAGAGATCATCCACGCTGTGGTTTTTATGCCCTTTCTGGCCATGAAGCTCCAGCAAGTCGTAAGGTTGGGAAGGCCCAGTTGCAATCTGTTGTGAGTTGGAAGTGGCACCTCCAGAGTCAGGCACGAGTGGAGTGAGCTTCCTGAGCAGGT